GAATGTTCTGTTTTCACTGCCCAGATGACTTGTTCCAGCAAAGTCTACCAATAGTGCCAAAGCACTTGCATAGCAAAAGTATTTCTAACCTAGAAATAGCCTGTGGTATTTTAGATCTTTATTAAGAAGAAGCAAAAGAAAAAAAGTAATCTGTTATTTTAACAATCACTGAACATGTGGGACTGTGCTTCATGCATGCTCTTTTGTCCTCACTGAATGATTTTTTTCCCCTGTGAATCTGTTCATATCACACACTGGGAACAGAGGAAATAAAAATGTCAAGATTCTACTGCAGAGAAAGACAGGGCAGTGTGGGTGCACCTATCAGCTACTGCAGGTCACCAAGTAATTCCATTTTATGCTGCTCATATTCCTGCCCTAAGGCACTAAACCCGAATCAGCAGTGATTTACAATTCTTTGGGCAAAAGCCTATGAACTCCATCCCTTCCAGAGGTTAAAGTTGGTAACAGTACTTAGTAATACCAGTTCTTCTGAACTTCAGGCAACTCAAAAGGCTTTGCTCAATGCTTCCAGTTTAAAAAAATCTACTTTATTTTTGAAAAATCATCTTGTCTGTATTATAATTTCACATTTATATGTGAATAAAGACACCCACAAAGACACCCAGCAACAATACTACACATAAGTGTGTCTATCTGAGGTCTTCTGCTGCAAGGAAAGGTTCTGGCATGCTAAGATGCCTTAAGTAGACAGGATTTACTCAACCCAAAATGAAATTTTCCAAGTACACTTTTAACTGCTTCCATTCCAGTCAAAACATTTACCCTTGGCTATATGGCAAATCTAAATTGACAAGGCCTTAGCTCTGTCCAATTAACAGGGGGCTTAATTTGCACTCCCAGTCTGGCATCACCCTGGAAGGGCTCCTGAACACAGGACACTTCATCTAAGCACAGCTGAGGTGCCCTCTGCCTCCCTCTCAAGGACAGCACATCTGTCCTGGGGATGTAACCTTCTCCTTCACCACAGACAGGCCCAGCTGGCTGTTCCTGTGCTTGTGTCTCTCTGGGGACATGGAGACCACGGACCTTCTGCCTAAGCTTGCCCTTCCTCAGTGCTGTGGAAAAGAAACCCTGTGCTTTCCCAGCTCCAGGGACTGTTTCCACGACCTACCATGAAATCTGTGCAAAGAGGTGCTAAAGGATTATTTTTCTACTATATTTCTTGACAACAAAAGGGCTAAAATATTTTACTTTCATGATGCAGAAGAAAAAAAGAAACTATGCTAAAAAAAAAAGAAGAAAAAGGCAGCAATGTGACCTGGTCTAGACATGTACCCATCAGCAGCTACTTTGCAATGATGCCATTAAATTCAAAGTTGCTAAAGGAATCCTGGAGGTGTCAGTGCAATAGATTCTGTGCTGTAAGAATATCTAAGGTCAAACTAATCACCACACAGCTGTGTTGGGCTTCTTTCTCTATTTCTGGATAACAACATGCACACTATAAGCAGTTCTTTCTACAGTAAAGCAGCCAGGCATCAATGCTCCCAGATTAATATTAGTCATAAACAGTTGTGAATTATGAGCATGTACAGGTTTGCTCAGGCTTGAATATAAAAAAAAAGGAAGTATTTCATTAGAGTTTGAAAGTTCACATCTTCTCCTATGACTGCAAAGTCTTAGTCAAATGATGGATATCCTTTTCCATTGAAAAAATGTGCTATTAACAAAAATTATGTTACTGTTCAGACTAATTTTTATTATAAATACAAGAATTATGAAAAATTTCTCCATGCTAGTTTTATACTTGCATTATTGAAAACAAAAATGTGAAAACTGTTCCTAAATTTATCAACTAGTTTACAAGTACTTCTATTTTGCATGTAAGTTCACTTGAGATTTGTGCTGTGCATTTTCTCTTTTCTCTCCACAGGAAAGATGAATGCCAACGTTCTCCTTTCAAAAAATTAAATTTAATTGTTGTCTTCTCATGGATTTTTTAAAAAAGAAACCAACATTCAAAGCCTAAGTCCAACCTACAGACTACTCTAGAATTCTTCATAAAACTCACACATTCTGACAGAGATCTAGGGCATAAAAACATAACTAACATTGGTTAAAAAGATTTCCATGTGCAAAAATCATTCTCAGCCAGCAAAAGACTATGCAAATTAGTAGCAGAGATGTTGTTTGCATAAAGTAGGATGAATATGCTTTAACATTTAATCATAGGATCATGGAATGGTTTGGGTTGGAAGAGACCTTAAAGATCACCTAGTTCCAACCCCCCTGCATGGGCAGGGACACCTCCCACCAGCCCAGGTTGCTCCAAGCCCCATCCAACTTGCCCTTCAACACTTCCAGGGATGGGGCAGCCACAGCTTCCCTGGGCAACCTGGGCCAGGGTCTCACCCCCCTAATAATAAAGAATTTCTTCCTAACGTGTAACCTAAATCTCCCCTCTACCAGTTTAAAACCATTACCCTCATCCTGTCACTACACACCCTGGT